CAAGCTTGGATATATATATATATATGTTGAAAAAATTACTACGAAGCGCCCAATGGACCCGTACCCAAGGCTCAAACATTTGTTGGGCCTATTGCTATTTGGTTGGCCCATCAAAGCCGAGGCGCTTTCTAAACGACACCGTATTGGTTTCCGAACCCACCCCAAAACACTTGAACGCGGACCGTAAATTAAAAAAGGGGATCTGATTCCATTTTTTTCCCGACCCTCCCTGCCATCGTTCTTCGCTTCCCTTCGCCAAACCCTAAATTCCGAGGCATATCGGAAATTTATAGGTTCTCGCTCTGAGGATTCTTCTGGTAATATGGTTTCTTGATTCTGTCTTCTTCATCTCTCGTTTTTTCTTAGTAACTTTTGTATCGTGGAAGAAACAAGACTGTTATATCTGGGAAATTGTTTGACTACTCCGACTCGATTTGGATGCTCTATGTTACGCGGATGCGGAGTAATTTTCATGATTGGTCCTCTTTTTCTCTCTCGAGATATCTGTAGAATCGACGATTCCTGCAGAGTTTTATGCTGGAATCTTCGCTTTTCGTCCTAATTTAGCTCAAAGGTGTTTGTGACGTGTATGTATATATGTTTGTATCAGTAGGCTGTAGTATTAATGGTCTTCTGGATTGATATCCTGTGTTAGGTTCTGTTGCCTCGGTCAATGTCGTAGGGGTTGCTATAATCTTGTTTTGTCTTTTGTTCCGTTCTATTTCAGGTTCGTTAGCTCAATGTCTTCTGTTTCTAGTCAGCCGCAGTTCCGTTACACACAACCTCCCTCCAAGGTTCTTCATTTAAGAAATTTGCCTTGGGAATGCACCGAAGAGGAATTGATTGAACTGGGGAAGCCCTTTGGTAAGGTTGTAAATACAAAGTGCAATGTTGGGGCCAACCGGAATCAGGCTTTCATTGAGTTTGTAAGTGGAATTTTCTAAAAGGAATAAGTTTTTTTTTGTTTCTATAAGAATAGGTTTTAATTGTGTCGCCCTTTGGTTATTTTAACATGCTTTCAGGCTGATTTAAATCAAGCAATAGCGATGATTTCCTACTATGCTTCTTCGTCAGAGCCTGCTCAAGTTCGAGGTAAAACCGTCTACCTCCAGTACTCCAACAGGCAAGAAATAGTGAATAACAAAACAACAGCAGATGTTGCTGGAAATGTTCTGTTGGTGACGGTTGAAGGTCAAGATGCTCGCATGGTCAGCATTGATGTCTTGCATCTGGTAAGTACATTACATGCCTTTTTGGTTTGTCTAGAAGAGGTAAACACACCACTGAAAAATGTTCCAATGAGATTCTGATAACTAGGTTGTAGTTTGTTCAGTGCTTCTGAAAGATTTCTTTTGACATGAATGTAAATGGATCAGCAGGGCCATGTCAAGGCAATATCTTCAGTGGCAGCCTAATGCGTTAGGAGAAAGAGCGCATGTGTGTTTGTTTCCTTTCTCCTTTCCCTAACACTGCCTCTTTCTTCCCTACTCTTCCTCACACTTCCCTTTTGTCAAACCCTTTAGGATCTCGTACATAGTCTCAATAGGTCTAGTTATTATGGTGTTTTGATCTAATGTGCAGCTGTATTTGCATTGCTATGGTGATGTAAAGCTAAGGCACAATATCTTCAGCTGTGCTCTAAGAATTCCATCTGGAGTTTCATCGATCTGCTAACCTATTCAGAAGGATTCTGAGTTTCTATAAGCATGTTGGTTCATTTGTAGGAAGACATCTGTTGTGCCTTCGTGAGGCTTTAAATTGGTTTTGTTCTTATCTTTTCATTATACTTGGTTGGTCTTAGACTCTCGTAATAGTTATGATGTTGTGGGAGCTCTGTACCTCATAGTTTTGTTATTATAGTCTTGCAATATTGCACTGAGGTGCTAATTATTATTTTTGGGGTTGTCCACAAAATTAAAGCTGGTCTGTAATGCAGGTATTCTCAGCTTTTGGATTTGTTCACAAGATTACTACATTTGAGAAGACTGCTGGATACCAGGTATGTCACTTAACCAGTGAATGCATCGTTCTATATCGACCTTTTCAGTACTTGTTCCCATCCCGTTTCTTGTCTACAATGTTTTTAGGCGTTGGTGCAATTCTCTGATGCGGAAACTGCTACTTCTGCAAAGAATGCCCTCGATGGAAGAAGCATTCCCAGGTGACAGTTGTATTAAATGTTTGACACTGTATTTGGTTCAACTGTGAAGGACTGCATAGTTGTAGATACGGTGACCACACCTTTAGACAGCTCCTATTGTTTTCTGTCATCTGATGCAAAGTTTTCTCATCGATAGAAATTAGAAATTAGGTTCATGCTGGGAGCTTGTCATGTTTTGAATTATATTTCAAACCAAGCAGGTTTTTCATGATGGGAACATTCTCCCATCTTGCTTATATCCAATGTGTGAGACATAGCTACGCTATTGACTGTGCTTTTTCTTTATATCAGGTATTTACTCCCTGAGCACATGGGGCCGTGCACTCTTAAGATCACTTATTCTGCTCATACAGATTTAACTGTCAAATTTCAGAGTCATCGGAGCAGGTACCTGGATTGCCTTTCCAACTAAAGTGTTCTTACATGTAACTTGTTGAAAAATGGTCTGGTTCAATTGGTAATTTCAATCATAAATTAATTCCAAATGTTCTGATTCTTTTGTGCAGGGACTACACTAACCCTTACCTTCCGGTTGCACCGTCGGCCATTGATAGTACCGGTCAGGTAAGAATTTGATATTGGTGTACTATTGGCAAAGTTCATTATGATTGCATTGTTGACTCGTTACTTATCGAATCTCTAACTGCTTTTATGCATTCATTTTCGCCTAGTGATTCATTGTGTTTTCAAACACTCGTGACTTAGTTTTGTTCTAATCTTTACTGAAGGACTTTTCCATCTCATAATACTCTAATGCATGTTTAAAAACATCACTTTTTCAATCCCTGCCAGGTGAGTGTGGGTGTGGATGGGAAGAAGCTAGAACCTGAAAGTAACGTTCTTCTAGCATCTATCGAGAACATGCAATATGCAGTAACTTTGGACGTTTTGCACATGGTACGTAATATTCACCATGGAAAGCTGCATTCATACGGATCCTTGGGTTATGAAATATTTGATAATCTTTGGTCTCCCTTTTCATTGATGAGTAGGTTTTCTCAGCTTTTGGACCTGTTCAAAAAATTGCCATGTTTGACAAGAACAGTGGTCTCCAAGCTCTAATTCAATACCCAGGTGTGCATCTTCATCCTCCTTCTTATTGTCTACAATTCTCGGTTTATATTCAAAGATAACTCAGGCCGGGTGGATTACATTAATACATTACTTGAAGAGAGTGCAGAATTATTGGTTGGTGAATGTGGTGCAGTTTATTGGTATTGAGATATGAACTGTTTTTGTTTGGACATTTGTTTTTGTTTTTCAGATGTCCAAACTGCAGTTGTGGCGAAGGAAGCTTTGGAGGGACACTGCATTTACGACGGTGGATTCTGCAAACTCCACATCACTTATTCTCGCCACACTGATCTCAGCATTAAGGTAATAATTATTAAATAAAACCATATTCCTTATCTATTCACAAGACTTGCCTCTCGCAAAAGACATTGGTAATACCATCGAGTTTCTTTTCTCTCTCTCTGTGGTTTTTTGCAGGTAAACAATGACAGAAGCAGAGACTACACGATCCCCAACCCGGCCATGCCCATGGTGTCCCAACAACCTGGAGTGATGGGTCAACAGCCCGGTATGCCTCCGAGCCCTCATCCCTACAACAGTGGTGGCGGCCAGTATCCAACGGGTCAGCACCCGCAAGCAGGATGGGCCCCACCAGCGGCTGGTCAGTCCATGCCAATGGCCATGGGAGGTCATCATCATCCTTACATGGGTACTGCATCCGGGTCCGGATCGATGATGCCACAACACTCGGGGCCTGGCCCTATGTATGGGCAAGGCGGCGGGCCAATGCCGTCCTATGGACCTGGCCCTGGCCAGATGCAATGAGACAATTGATTTCGTTGGTTGGATCCGTCATCTCTCTCGCTTGGGTTTTAGCCTTTTCTTGGTGGTGTCATTAGCTACTTCGGTTTTGGAGCTCTTTTTCCCCTTCCATATCCTGAGCTACTTATTAACTATTAAACTGAAAAGGAGCTTCGTGTCTTAAAATGCAAAAGAGGTCTTTGTTCACGTCCTATGTCGGTGGTCTGTTAATGTGCTTTTTGGTACAATCATTGTTGCACACTTCAAATTCAATTGAAGTGGTAGAATATATTATTCGGCCATTGAGTGAGGTGTGACTTTGAACTTTGAAGGTCCAAGCAAAAGCTAAATAAGGCCGACACTAATGCTGCAAAGCCCCTTAATCTATCTGCTTCAGTCATCAATGTCGAAACCGAGGTGGAAATCAAAGTGAATTCTGCTTCCGGCAGGAGGAAGGGGAACAAGCAGACTTTGGGTATTGGCGTACGAAGTAACGACAACAGATTCCCATCGACAAGAGGACAGACACCCCGACCTCACCCGGTGAGAATGGGGCTAATATTTTTCCCAACTCAAAAAAAAAAAAAAAAAGAAAGAAAGAAAGAAAGAAAAAGAAACAGCTCAAAAGACACACTACAGAATGGGAAGGAAATAAAAAGATTCATTTCCCCCCTTCCCTAAGAGTTCTCTATTGTTCCTGTAATTATACTAAACCCTCCTCAAACACCACAGAAGTTTATCGGCTCTTACCCTATCTTCTCTCTCTCTGTGTCATGTTCTCCTACTATTTTCCTTTTTAATACGTTCTTACCTACAAAACAAAACAACATACAAAAGTAACAAAAAAGAAGAAAACGAAATCCTAAAGGGGTACACCTTGTGACAAATGACGGTGTGATCTCAAAAAAGAACAAAAACAGAGAGAGAGAGAGAGAGAGGGTCCGTCTCGTCACTGTTTCTGGATACATCAAATTGCGAGATTCCTGCTTTGACTTCAAATTAGATTTTTTAATGTAATCATTAGTATTCAGAAAACTCCAAAATCGTTTTTTGGTTCTAGAAAACGGCATTACACATCATTATTTTTTTTAAATTGACAAAAAATGAAAGCAGAAAACAAAAGAAAATAATAAAAGAGAAAAGAAGAGGAACTCTATTTTATGGTGGTGGTGATTGAATGCCATGTCTGTTCCCCAAAGAGAGACGTCTCCCTCACCTTGGAAAGCCCTTCATCCATGGCATTCACCATATGATTATATATACTCACCCCGCTGGAGGAGAGTTCTGCCTGTTTCCCTTCTCCGTAATCTCTCAGACATTGCCGATCGGTTCTGTTCGGTCCTGAACCGCCAGTCTTTCTGAGACATCTGCCAATGACTTTAGATTACATTTGATCAGAGCCTCCACAAAGTAGCATGTTTCTTCCTTTGTGTTCCCTTCCGGGATGTCCACCACGAAGGACTCAATCACTAGAGTACCTGGTCTCCCGTCTATTGTCTCTGGGTGAAGCGAAATGATGGAAGAGTAGTTCTGGTTGGGCAAACGGGGAAAACATAAGTCTGACAGCATTAGCTATAGATTTTGCCTGATCACGAAAGACTAACTGGAATTCTAGTTCTCATCAATATCATCTCTTCTTTCAAAAGTTCATGCTTTTCTTGCAGCATCTCTTCCAAAAATCCTAAGTGTCTGCAGCCTTGATCTACAACTCACACAACATATAGACAAGATAACAGCCCAACTTTCTGGATAAGCGACATGCTAAAGCTGTAGAAATTTGCATCTTACAAGGACGAAACTTCAAACTAAAAGCCAACGGAAATGAGTGATGCCAATGTTTCACATACCAAAACGAAATAAAGAAAAGAGGGCTAAGATGTCTCGGGTACCTTGAGCCTGTGATCGCCACCGACAATCCTGATGCTGAGGATATGATCATTATCATCAAGCAATTCCAACCTCTCTGTGCTTTTAGTAGCCGGTAGCCCAGACTTCACATCAACTTCTCTTACAGTACCAATTTCAAGGTTTCCCTTCACCACACACCTACTGATAAACGGCTTGTATTTCTGGGGCTGATCGAATCTCCGGACAAGAGACCAAACCTGTCGAAGAAGAAAACCGAGCTTTCATGAAGTTCCAGGGAAAACCAGCAAGAGCCCACAGGAATATGGTTAGATCAACCCTAAGAATTCTCTTCTTCCCTATCCACATAAATTGAAATAAACTAAATACACTAATGCAGTGACCAAAATCGAATCAAGCAGTAAAAGAAGTCGGATAACCACCACTGGGACTCGCAAAACCTTCGAAACAAAAACATCGATCCTCCATATTATGAGAACCAACCGATATCCCTCGTTTCATCAATCATCTTGCTCGATTCGTGATTGTGAATATAAGAATAAGAGATGCAAGAATAGGAAAAGAGATCGACACTTTCCCGATGAAGACGAAATGGAATCGATTGACTATGAAATCGGATCTAAAATGGAGAAGAATCAAACGAAAACAGAGGACATACACAACAGCTGAGAGAGGAGAGCACGAGAGCTTACGAGATGAACAGGAGCTTTGATGTGCTTGACGAGCGTCGAGCTGCACTGGTTCTCCTTAGGCTCATGCCTGTGATGCCTCCTGATGTACTCGCTCTCCGGAATCGCCGCCGCAATGTTCATCGTCCCGATTGCGTTCATCTTCGTCTCCTACCTCACCACGCCGTTATCTCGGTATGGCGTGCCGGAAACGGCGAAAAAACCGTTGCAGAAGTGAGTGAAAAAGCACGGAAAAAGGACAGATCGAGTCACCGTGAGGTCCTGACAACCTTCCCGTCAGCTCGTCGGAGATCCGATATCCGATGTCCCGCCGGCGAGAACCTCCGGTGAAAAACGATAGGCCTTGGTCGCCGGCTCCGAGAGAGAGCGCGTGTGAGAAACAGCCCCAACAAACTACACCCCTCTCTCTATAACAGATTTTATATTAAAGTAGGAATTAAAAACAGTAAAAGTGACAAAAAAAATCCAAACGTTTTAACGCATTACTCTGTAGCTCAAGACGCATACAAATAAATAAAAATATCAAAATAATAGGGGGAGAGAGGGAGAGAGAGAGAGAGTGGGTATTGACCCCCGGAGTTGAAGAGTATTACGGGAGTGCCATTATTTGTCGGTTAGCGGGGCTTGCTATTGATATTGACGAATATACCCTCGTCAGCAAGTGAATCTGCCCACTTCACTTTCTTAAAACGAATAAACTTGAACATGACTTTGGAATATTCTGTGCTATGAGCTCCCTTTATTATTAGAGAGAGAGAGAGAGGAAGGAACGAGAAACGTGTGTCCGTCTTCTTTGACCTCTGATACCAAATAAGGCTAAACGTGAAGGCCCATCAAGATCATCATCCTTTTCATGTGAATCCCACATGCAACCTCGCATCCTTGTGAACACTTCTTACATCACCTGGGTCTGTCCTTTTGCAGAAAACCTGCCACCTCAGCCAGAGGCTTCATGGTCACACCTCCACCAGTATGCGTATAACTTCATCAGGAGTATATAAACCAAACAGATATAATTTTTTAAAACCAAAACCGAAATAATTAAAATCAACCGACTGTGAGATGGAGACAAGCGGAAACAGAGAAGACAATCACAAAGTAGAGAGAGGAGAAAGAAAACAACGTTTTTTGCTATGAGACAACCACAACCAAAAAAAAAAGCAATGAATAAACAAATCGGGAGAGAAGAGAAGGTCATTCTGGGGGCTTCATATACTCTCTTTGCGTCTAAAGCTTGTGCTAAAACTCTCACTCTGTTCACACACCACATTGACTTACCGATTATGGGCCCTATCCTCTCTTTCCCTTCGTGTTTTACTCACTAGTTTGCTTCGGTTCGGTTTCGGGTTTTGCTTCCGGTTCAGCTTTGGGGTTGGGTTTGAGTTCGGGTGATTCGGTTTTCTCATGACCGAATCTCACCACAATGCAAGTGATGTTATCTGAGCTGCCACGGGTGAAGGCAGTTTCGGTTAGCTTGCGGGCAGCAGCCTCGGGCTCTTCTGCGGTCTGAGCAAGCGACACCGCGTCCTGAACCCAATGGCAAAAGTGTAAATACCCATGTAGCAGACGATTCCGAGTCAGTGGCCAGAGTAGTTATAGTTAACGACGCAATCATAATTACCTCATTTGGAACCACATCCCATAATCCGTCGCTAGCAAGAACAAGGAACTCAAATTCATGGTTTATCTCAAGATCCTGCAATGAGTGCGTGACTAAGCCTCCACCCGAGGATTTGAGCATAGAAGATAAAAAAAAGAAGAAAAATACCATATAAATACATCAATTTGTTATTAACTCCCAAATTAATACATGAACTTTAAAATTTTTAAAAAGCTTACACGAACTTTTCTTAATTCCCAAATCATAAATTTTACAAAGATTACCCAAAGCCTACGACAGCGTTTTCTGTTCGATGTGTAGTTTTTTTGGGAGTTTTTGTAACTGGGATTCGGAAAAAAGTTCAATGTATATTTTTGAAAATTTTAAAGTTTCATGTACTAATATGGAAGTTGATAACAAAATCATGTATTTACATGAGATTTTCCAGAAGAAAAAAAAACAGATTGTGACGTAAGCTTTACTTCAGCATACGGTTACCAGAGGCACGAAAAAGTTACCTGAATCTCGGGTTCAGCAACGACGAATTGCTTCAGCATACGGTTACCAAAAGCACGGGACATGGCCAAGACACCACCTACCCTCCATGTTCCTGACAAGAAAATCCACAAATACACTCTTAAGCCCAATCATTGAAATTCTAAAGTTTTTTTTTCAAAATTCCTTAGGCTGAGAATGCAAAATATGCGAATAATTCAGACCAACTCTGTCTGAACTCAATGAAAGGAGATTTTTAAGTACAGTTTCATTTACCTGCCCACATGATAACACCTCCAGCGCTTTCAATTCTCTTCCGCTCATCGATTCGGTTTGGCTTGTGATCATCAGACAGAGGGATGGCTGCAGAAAAAGAAATATTCAAGGAAAAAAAAAGGAAGATGGTAATAAAAGGAAAACCCCAGCAACAAGTGTTTGTGTATCATAAAAAATTCATCCGTTTGCGATTAACTAAAACCTTGATGCCAGGAATTACATGAACTGGACTGGTCGAAAACACTGGAAGCTGATTTCTATTTTCTCAATGTTTAGCCAAAGCTTCTCAATCTACCTCACATAACATAACAACGCCTACCTTTCCCAGCTTTTGAAACGATTGTCCGTGAGTCTCCAACATTTGCAACATACAAATGGTTACCCACCAACACAGCAGTAGATGCTGTGGAACCATCATCTCTGTAAATATCCTTTTCTGATTCCAAGAATGCTGCATCAGTTTGCTTGTATGTTTCAGCTGCAAACTTAGCCAAGTTAGAAGGTAAATCCATTAATTGTATCTGGAGGAGTATACATCTCATACTTCTTGAAACAGTAATAAATTGTGCAGCCAAAAGGACATAGAGTGCGCACTTATTGCGAGCTTGGTATCTGTCATGAATTGCGGATGCTTCATAAGATTCTCAAAGAGGTTTTCCTTTAGGTACTCCGCGGCACGTGAACCTCCATGCCCTGTAACGATGACAGAAGCTCAAGAAACTGGAAGTGAGGAAAGTGATGCCCTGGTTTTGTAATTCCAGGAAATCCTGAACTCAGGCAGTTCATTTTGAAGCAAAAAAGGTATATATAGATATAGGTACCCAAAAATGTTGAGACAACGGAATCGGCTCTTGGAAAAAAAATGTTTTCGAGCATTCGAACAGAGTAACATTTCCATCATATATATAAGTAAATGAGCGAATATAGATAGTTCACTCGTGAACTGCAGATTTCGGTTCCCTAAAAAGTCCATGTTAGCTAAACCAGAAGTTGCAGTCAGCACATACAGATACAGAATCTCATAATTTAACTGATTACTTGACAGTGTAGGAGATTAGAGATCTTTTTTAAAGAACCGCAAATGAAGATAAACTGTATTTTAGTTCAGTAAACTATACGCTGAATTTAGTACAGCAATGAAATGCCATGTTGAAAAGCAACAAAAACCTTCCATAAATGAGTAGTCATTTTTGGATATAAAGTGAATATTAATATTTTTTGTTCATCTTTCTGGAAAGAACAGAAGGCAGATCATAGAATCTAACCATCAAAAATTCCAAACATGCAGACCGTTTGGCCTTCAATCATGGCAGCTTTGACATCATAGAAATCTTCCATTGTAGACCTTCTCCCTCTGAAACTTGAGTACCCACAGCTCAGCTTTCCATCTTCACTATCATTACATGAAAACTTTTGAGGATAAGCATGTCTAATAGAACTAAATATACTAAACTAAGTCTCAGATACCCAAAAAGTAATCTAGAAAGGAAATAGACATTTATCACATTTGTCCAGAGATGATGACTACAGAAATAAACGTTACAAAGTTTTCTGCAAGAAAATATCTAGCTTTGATGTTTTGATGTGGCACAGAGAATCTTCCAGGACGCAATCATTCGTATATAAACAAATAAACCGCATAAATACCGCAAAAAACTAGTGACAAATTAAGTAAGTTACATGCCATAGATATGGCTTTTCCTCCCCCTGTTTCACGCACAAATGCCATGAATAGTAGTCGATATTCAACTTCCATTAGACAAAAACTAAATACTTCCCGATCAGGAATCATAACAAGTCATTTTTCCGTAGCTATAAATTATGCCCTGGGGTTGTTATACTCAGCACAACAATAGCACGACCCATACCTAACACATAAGATACACTCACCTTTTCCACCCACCACAAATATATCCACCATCATCAACTTTCTCAGGCAACATATCAACAATGGATACCCGTTTCTCCCCCGCAGCCGAGTCGACCATCATCTTTGTGCTTGTTTTAAATCCACAACTCCACTTGTTGCTTACACCAAAGCCGACACTCAATGTCCTCTTAATGTTGCTAAACTGTTCTCTTCCTTGAGCCAAAACTCCTATATGACAAGCCTGAACAATGACACTCCTTAGGAAGCTATTGCATACCATCTAAGCAGGCGGGTCTCCCTTCAAATAAGTTTCTCGATAAAATGCCGGAACTGCAAACAGAAGAACTCATCTACCATTAGTGAACTACATAAATTATGTCCTGGAGAACATGAATCTCGAAATAGGACCTGATAAGGACTTTAACAAGCAAGCTGCAGTCATCCATACAAAGATTTGATTAGATTGGAGGGATATATACTTCACCAGCACAGAACACGATTCAAAGATCACATCCCAATCTTCTACATACAAGGTCCAGATATTACAAAATAACAACTGAAACAAGAGATCGTCCTGTCTACGAGAAGCAATTGACACAACAAAACCCTACCTATACAGATAAATTAAAGATTTATGCTGATATTAACCTCGATTTGTTGAACAAAACGGATCCTGTGTATCCACGATAAGATCAAACTAACGAAACATAAGCAATAAAGATAACTACGACAAAATCCTTCCGAAAAAAAGTGATTCGACTCTTACTTTCCAGACAAACGGATTCATCGGACCGAACAACGAGACGGATTAAAGAAGCGGGAAAGTAAGAACAAGAATCTCGAATGGATTCGAAGAAATAAGAAATAATCCAATCGAAATCAAGGATCTATCGCCGGAATCCAAGTACTACAGAGGCTCTGACAGAGAATCGAATCGGATTAGGATTTGGATTGGGATCCGGACGGAAATACGGCGATTCACAACCTACGAATCCGAATCTGAGACTGGAGTTTGTTAGGAAAATCGGCCTTTTCTCTGGAGTCTCTCTCTCTAGAAACAGAGAGAATCCTAAGAGAGAGCGAGAGAGAGAGTGGGTAGTGAGAGAGAAGAGGCGAGAGAAGAGAGAGGCACCGAACAGAAGCAGCAACGTGGCGCTCCTCATGCATCCATGTTTTTTCGTGCTCAGTGGCTTTTTTGAGGATTCTTTCAAATTCATTTGTTTCACACTTTTAACCTGGAATTTCAAATTCTACTCTATAATAATAATATTAATATAATAATAATAATAATACAATACTTAGTTTGATCATTTTGATTATTAATTGAATAAGTAAATCGAATCTAATAAGATATAATCGTAATCAAACGGAATCTGATATAAAATAAAATCGAACGGTTATTATTTCTAAAAAACTAATTTTGAATTAAAACGAAATAAAAAAATTGATAATTTCTTTAGATAAATGAGATTTAAAAAAAATCGAAATCGAATCGAATCGGACCAAAATTGAATTAAACCGACATGAAAAATCGAATGGTTATAGATTTTTTATAATCAAAATAACCGAGTTTAAATATAATCGAATTGAATCCGAATAAAAACTCAAAATGATCACCATTATTACACAAATAATAAGAATAATAATAATTCGATTGGATATAAAATTTAATAATTATTTATCTAAAATTAGAAAAAAAAAATTGAATCAAAATTGAAAAATAAAACTAATAAAAAATATAAAATTTTAAATAAATAAATATCGAATCTAAACCTAAAAATAAATTTGATATGAATGTCGAATATTTATATTTTTTAAAAAAAAATTACAATGACGGCGAATTTTTATCAATAAAAATTAAACCCGAACTGAAATATAATATCACGGGTTTTTTTACTTTAATCTAATAATCAAAACTACAATTTAACCCAGAAAATATCATAAAAGCTATCAAAATTAACTATTAAACTATAAATTCCAGACAAATTTATTACAGATTTATATGCAGGTTGTAACTATAAAAAATGCAATGATGTATGGAAGTTAATAATGAGGGTACGTCATCCTAATTGTAAAATTTGAATAACATGTACATATTTTGATCCGGAGGGAGGGAGTAATAATTAATAAATAATGGTAAATATATAAATTCATTTACAATATGTACATATTTTTATTTTTTATTTCACTGGACAAGATTATATATTTTCAGGATATTCTTAAAAAAATATTTTTACAAGATACAACCAATTTCAGACTTTGGGATACACCGCCATGTGTGTGTACTGGATTTAGATATTAAAACGATATGAATTGGTTAGAACTATTACAATGATTATCGCAATCTTCTTTTTAAACATTAAAAATTGATTTTGAACCCTACCCGAGAGTGAAGTTATATTAATTCATTTATCATTCAGCGCGTTGACTCAGAAACGAATAAAAATTAGTTCGAATGTACAAAATTTAAATATATCGATTTATAATTAAACTTCATTCAAAATCTATATATATATTATACATATGCGATAGAGGTGGATGTTTGGGTATTTGGTTCGGATTAGGTTTGATAATAGTTCGATTTGATTCTTTTCTTTTTACAAAAATATATATCAATCGATTATTATATTATATTTGGTCTATTTTGATTTCGATTTCAGTTTTTATTAAAAAAATTAGATGTCTTTTTAGAAAACTTTAGATTATCGGATTTTTTTAAAGTTAGGTTTTAAGAAATTCCATTTTCTAAAAAAAAATATTATTAAAAATTTTGAACAGTTTTGATTAAAAACATATCGTATTTCTCGATTTGGTATGGTTTGGTTTTGAAAAACCGTATCCAAACCCACATCGCTAATTTTATTTATTAGTCATAATTAAAAAAAAAACGGTTTCTTTTCACACTCTGACTGATGCTCCAAGTTGGTGTCTTTTTATTAGATAAGTTAAATTAGATTTAAGAGGGAAAAAACTGTTAAGAAAAGATTTTTTTTGTAGGGGAAAAGACATGAAAGAGCAAATTTCCTCGAAACTCCGTCCGATCTGTCAGTCTCTTCCTCCATCATTGCTCTCTCGTTTCTTCGTCTGGTAAGTCTTTCCTTTTTTTTTTGTTATGGGTTTTGTAATTTCATTTACAATTTTTATTGGTTGACCAAATTTTCTTTGCTTTTTGTTTACTCCTCTTTTTCTTCGGAGTTGCTTGGAATTCTCGTGTTTCCCGTCCTCCCTCCTCCGCTCTTTTCTAGAAAGCGAAGATTTGATCTTTCTTTTTGAGGGGTTCAGTCCGAGTTTCTGGGTTTCACGGCTCGTTCAGTGACTCAGTTCCCCGATCTCTCGGAGACTGCCGTTCCTCCGTTTTCCGGTGGATTTCTACTCGGAGAAGTTTCGGTTAAACGACAACAGGAACAAAAACAGGTTTTTTTTTTTGGGTTAAGATGCTCTACCTGTTCCTCGGTCGAATTTCGAAGCAAAAGTTTTGAGCTTTGAGATGAAGTTCATGCTAAATTGAAGGTTTTTTTTTGCTTAGACATTACGATTGGGAATTTCTGAAATCAGGGATTTTTTTTTAAAGTGAACAAATTTGCTTGTAGTATCTGTAGTTCACTTCATCAAATGCCATGAGAGGGTTTGCCTGTCTCTGCATCAATGGAGGACAAGTTCGTGAGGTCAGTACTAAAAAAATCACTTTTTTTTTTTTGAAGTTCATTGTTACCTTCGATCGACCAAACCCAGTTTCCAAAAACTGTTTTCCAGTTCTGTCTCTTAGTTTCTAGCGATCAAATCCTTCCTTTTATGGATCAGATTCCAGGACTGGAGATCTGAGAAGGCTTCAGACATGGAGCATTCAGGGATGAAAGAAATGGGCCTCGGAAGATTCAGTAGAGCCATGAGCTCCATTTCAGACAAGCTTCGGAGGAGAGTTGAATCCGGTTCTGCAAGAATCAAAGTGTTTAAGAGATCATTCAACAACTCTGTTTCAAAGGGTTTAGTCCCCAGGAACAAAGTACTTGACCCACAAGGAGCATTCTTGCAGAGATGGAACAAGATCTTCGTATTGGCTTGTATCGTCGCCGTATCCCTCGACCCTCTGTTCTTCTACGTCCCCGTGATCGATGACACGAAGAAATGTCTCGGCCTGGACAAGAAGATGGAGATCACTGCCAGTGTCTTACGTTCGTTCACCGATATCTTTTACGTCATCCACATTATCTTCCAGTTCCGAACTGGTTTCATTGCCCCTCCTTCTCGGGTTTTTGGAAGAGGCGTTCTCGTCGAGGAAGCTAAGGAGATCGCCAAACGCTACTTATCGTCGCGTTTCATTGTGGATGTTCTCGCCGTTCTTCCACTTCCTCAGGTATTGTTTCCAGAGTTCATTCAAAAGGATCAGCTTTTGTTTCCGCTGACAGAGCCTATGTTGTGTGTGAGCGTTTCAGGTGGTGATACTGATAATCATTCCGAGAATGAGAGGCTCGGCATCGTTGAACACAAAGAATCTGTTGAAATTCATCGTGTTCTTCCAATATATACCGAGATTCGTAAGGATATATCCGCTGTATAAGGAGGTGACGAGGACGTCCGGAATACTCACAAAGACAGCTTGGGCGGGAGCAGCTTTCAATCTCTTCCTTTACATGCTCGCAAGCCATGTGAGGAGGGAGTTCTATATATACGATGTCTCTCACATTCATCGTCGGCCGAGATGGTTAACCGGAAAAAAAAATCTTTGTTTTTTCCAGGTGTTTGGTGCTTTCTGGTACTTGTTCTCGATAGAACGAGAAACAGTGTGTTGGAAAAGAGCGTGTAAGAGGAACCCGATCATCTGTGATCCGAGGTTGTTGTATTGTGACCATGGCACCAGAGGAGGTAACACCTTTCTGAACGTGTCTTGTCCGATTCAGACACCGAACACGACCCTCTTCGATTTCGGGATTTTCCTCGATGCCCTTAATTCCGGCGTCGTCGAGTCCCGGGATTTTCCTCAGAAGTTCTTTTACTGTTTCTGGTGGGGGCTTCAGAACCTCAGGTAGTATCATAACTTTCACTGGAAATACCGTTCGTTTGGGAAGAAGCGAAAAGAAGGGTAACTCTTGTTCTTGTTTCGACTTGGCAGTTCGCTTGGGCAAAACCTCAAAACGAGTACTTATATCTGGGAAATATGTTTCGCCGTCTTCATCTCCATCTCCGGACTTGTCTTGTTCTCGTTTCTCATCGGTAACATGCAGGTTTGGTTTCTGTCTCCTTCATTCTTTTGGTAATGAGCAAGCTGTGAATTCGTTATGGCTTGTTTTTTGATGAAACCCTAAATCTCTCAGACGTATCTGCAATCGACGACGACGAGGTTGGAGGAGATGAGAGTGAAGAGACGAGACGCTGAGCAGTGGATGTCTCACCGCCTGCTTCCCGATAACTTGAGGAAGAGAATCCGACGCTATGAGCAATACAGATGGCAAGAGACCCGAGGCGTCGATGAAGAAACCCTCCTCTGTAATCTTCCCAAGGATCTTAGACGGGACATCAAACGCCATCTCTGTCTCGGCCTCCTCATGCGGGTCGGTAACTTTCTCTCCTCTTATAACCGAAACTGACACCCGGTTATGAAAAAAACTTGAACTTGTTTAGGTCCCAATGTTTGAGAAAATGGACGAACAGCTCCTGGACGCGATGTGTGATCGTCTGAAACCCAGGTTATATACCGAGGAAAGCTACATCGTGAGGGAGGGAGATCCAGTCGACGAGATGCTGTTCGTTATGCGTGGAAAGCTCCTAACGATGACAACCAATGGTGGAAGAACAGGTTTCTTCAACTCCGAGTATCTCAAAGCTGGCGATTTCTGCGGGGAGGAGCTCCTTACCTGGGCACTGGATCCACACTCCTCCTCTAACCTCCCAATCTCGACCCGAACAGTACGAGCCCTCACTGAAGTCGAAGCTTTCGCCCTTAAAGCCGACGACTTGAAATCCGTCGCTTCTCAATTCAGACGCCTTCACAGCAAACAGCTTAGGCACACTTTCAGGTTCTACTCGCAGCAATGGAGGACATGGGCCGCTTGTTTCATACAAGCCGCCTGGCAAAGGTACTCTAAGAAGAAACTTGAGGAGTCGTTGAGAGAAGAAGAGAACCGGTTACAGGATGCTCTGGCAAAAGAAGCTGGCAGCGGGACTTCTCCGAGCCTTGGGGCCACGATATATGCCTCCCGATTCGCTGCCAACATCCTACGTACAATACGGAGGAGCGGAACTATGCGGAAAGCGAGGATTCCCGAGCGAATGCCGCCGATATTGCTCCAGAAACCGGCTGAGCCAGATTTCAATGCTGCTGATTAGTTCAAGAAAGAATAGCTTCTGTAATGTATATTGATAAAACATGATGTATATGAGTGAAATCTTTATTTATATAGTTTCTATTTATCAATCAGAAAGTCAAGCAGTCAAGGAAGCGAGTCTTCTACTAAGACATATCCATCATTAGGCAAATACCAAAAACACAGTGTACAGGAGAGATACAAGGTTCGCTTTCCTGTCTGAATATGGCAGCAATCTGTTATTCCTAAGTTACAGAGCCGAGAGGGTAAAGAGGTCGAGAAACCCGGATGTGAGAAAGCTACCTCAGGACGCCCGAAGTGAGGCGACCTCTCTACACAGAAAAGCGGGCAAAGCGAAAGATGCTGTGTGCATCTGTTAAAAACAGACAGACAAGACATAAACTTTCATCGCAACATTTGCAAGTATATCTGAATAAAGATCGGTATTTATTTTTCAAAGTACCTCTGAGTTATAGAATTTCAGTTCTCGTTTATGGTTCATGGCTCCGTCAAGTTTTTCTATGGGGTTGATGGGGTTCTTGAAATCAACAGAGGGTCCCTCGGAAGATGAAACCAATCACACCACTGCAAAAGCCCATATAATGTAGAAAACAATGCACCATCAAGATTCAGGATTCCTGAATCATAGATGACGAGAAGAAAACTAGGGTGTGTGCATTCGGTTCATTACCTTGGATACGTGGGAACACTGGTCCATGCGTAATGGACGGTCTTGAATGTTTGACGGCAAATGGAGATCATATCTTCGATAAGATGGGTATGGAGCCACATACTTTCTGCCATGTTGCAGAGAACACCACCCGGCTTCAATGCTCTGGCTATCGTGTCAAAGAATGGCTTCTCAACGAGTTCTCGAGCAGGACCTACGCCAGAAAGAGCCATGGTAGGATTTTAGATTTTTCGGGTTAACATCAGTTGTTACAGAATCTGAGTAAAAATGAGATCTTTACAACTAGTGTTAGATAGCAGAACATTACCCACGGGATCTGAAGTATCAACGATGATCGCATCGTACTTCCCTTCAGGAGATTTTCGAAGGAACTCAGCAGCTGCCAGAAAGAAATCAGAAATCAACTATGAATATATTGTATACTTATCACTGTTTCAAGGGTTCAGACAAGATTAAACTATGAAATAAGTAAATGAATATTGATTACCATCACCGACATGAAGCTGAACACGAGGATCCTCGAATCCAATGGCTAATTCAGGGAAGTACTTCTTAGACACCTACAAGGCCGAAAGAATCTCAGTTTTGCAACTAAAAGCCCACCTTGAAATTGCACGTAAGGAAAGGGGCCAATCACTTACATCTATAACCATCTTATCTATCTCACAAATGTCAATAACCTCAACAGAGCTATGGCGAGAAATTTCCGTGAGAACGCCACCATCACCACCACCAACGACCAAAACCTTCAAACATCGGTTTCAAATTTCAATGAAATCCACCATCATGAAAACAAGAAGAACGGTATGATTTGGAATCCCAATGCAATTATGCAACTGAACCTATATTCTAACAAAAGCTTTGACAATGTACCTGAGAAAAGATCCACCTGATACAATCAATGAGCAAAACAGAACTACAACACCACAGGGACCGGAACATTATAATGCAAAACATTAGTATCCTTCATAAGTTGTTGCACATGCGATGTAATTCATATAGTTGAAAGAGATAAAATTAAGATCATTTCCTAATGGTGAAACTTACATTTTTAGGGGAAGGAATGGAGCAAAGAGGAAGGTGAGTGATCATCTCTTGATATGCACATTCATCTTTCTCAGTCAACTGTACAATGCCATCTAGAACAAGCACCTTCCCGTACGTGGATGACTGCAGAAACGAGAAAGAGAAAGGGTTATCACGAAGAAGGCGACACAACAAGATACTTGACTCAGCATATAGTTTTCACATTCAAACAGAGGGAACAGCCACAAGTTTTAGACCTCAAAGACTAGGACTTCCTGGAACTCCGACTTGGCTTTGAACAGAACTCTCTCAACTTTTAGCGAGTGTGCTTCTCCTGCAATCAACAATGGAAAGAACATGAGCTGAATGAACAAGCAGATCAATCAAGCATAACCCAGAAAATCTTAAAAATAGAAACTTTATACAGAAAGCCAACAAGACAATCTAACAAAAAGACCAATCTTAAGATAACAAGGAGCAACGAGGTCGAGCATATGAACATTTAACCTACCCGGCCACATAGGGTTATTGAAATAGACAGCTTTGCCTGCTTTACCTGCATCAAACAAGATATAAAAAAAATAAGAAAAGGAACCGGGTAAAATTGAAAAGAATGGAGTAATCTGATACGACCAGGGCGAGGGTGAGGTTCCGAGAACCATCCTGAAACAACAGTAGAATGGCACTTGGCATCTTGCTCAGGTAAGCATGCATTGGCCTTCAGGCAACAAGAAGGCAGAGCCTCGTCCAAACCGTTCCCGTTACTCGCCTTCCCATCCATAATCTTCGGGCATTCCAAACCTTTTACGGCGTCTCCCTCCATGGACGATCCTTTTCTTACCCGGCTCCAGCCTCTATATACTGCACAATCAAAGCCTCAGAGCCAGAAACTTCAACTCACATAAACAGCACTACATTGTCTGAAGCTGAGCAAATGAAAAAGCACCAGAATTCAACACCCACTGAGAGTCTGAGCAATAAACAAAAGTACCAGAAGTCAACACCAACTGATGTTGTCCGGATTCAGAGAAACTACAAAACTAACAAGTTTATGTGGAGGATGCGCCAAACCTACAGGAAAATGCACAACGGCTGCAAATTCTCTATCTACGAACTTTCTTGTCGTTAATTGAAGAACCTTCAGAAATTGGAAAGTATACTCCTCAACACATTGCAGACAATGGAAAGAATATGTTAATATTCAAATTCAAAGGAAATATAACTTTTCTTTTTCACTGCACTTCCCAGGTCGCCATTTTTATTAGGGAAAGTATTAAAAAAAAGCTTCCAGAAGAATGATTACTTTCCATGCAACGCCATGCCAGATTACCAGGAAAAGATTTAAAAAAATAAAATAAAAGCAGAGAGGTTTTCAAGTACTGGTTGAACCTGGACACACGAGTAAATAATTTCGCACTTGTTGAACCTGAAACAGTTCCTTCTTACTCTGAAATTTTATCGGGAGGCAAAAAGAAAAGTAAACAAGGTTTTCAAGTACGGTATACATGAATCGCACCTTCGAAGCGACGGAGAAAAATCAAACCGAAAAGAGACCTCCACGAATCACATTCCACATCGGGAAAGATCGCGAAAACGAAACCAGAACTGGGAAAGCTAAAACGTGAGATCTGACCTGGTTGTTGATGGCGGGGAAATGGAGATGTATGGGAAAGCTAAAACGTGATCTGAAAGAGGAACAGTGAGCGGGAAAGCTGCAATAATTGAAAAGAAAAAAAAAATTAGAAGAGAATTTGTTCTCTCTCTCGAATTTGTGCGCTCTTATCAATTTCTCAGGCTTTTTTCCTTCAAAGGTCTGTTTGGTTTCCCAGAAAATTCATTTTCTTCCACTTTAATTTAATTTTAATTTTTTTTTTGTGAAAAGCTTTTTCATCTCTCACATTTATTCCTCTTTCTGTTACTTTTTCTTTTAGTTACTTTTGCGTTTTTTGCATTATTTAATTTGGGACTTAGCAAATGACTAAATCATGAAGGCCCTACCACCTATTGCTACCAAATGGTCAAAGCACTCATAGGCGTGATTAATTTACTAACTTTCAATAGGAACGCCACATATGTCAAAGTTCCATTGAGTGAGAAGCATTCACATAATATAATTTAATTAAATCAAATTTTGCCAAATAAAAAAAAAAAGTTAAATTACACCCATCAAATTAAACCAAACTAGATGTGTAAGGATCTTTGAATCACCACGTTTCTCCGATCTCGCAACTGGGCTCTGATTAATTTGTAGTGGTTTGAGTCAAAAATCTCTCGATTATACATTCGATTTCCACCGAAAAATGAAGAAGGGACAAAAAACGTAAAAGATATAGATTTCACGAGTTCGGTCATCGAGTCTTGTTAGATTTATATTGGTACTGTTCGGAAAGAAGAACCTCCGACGAAAGTCGCCGGAAAACGCAGACGTAAGAGAGATGATTCTGTCTCTTGTCCTGTTTGATCCAAATTTGGTTGAATTAGTCACCGAAAAAATCAGCAATATGTTTATAGTGGGCTAACTATAAATGGGCCGGATCTGGATCAAGGCCCAGAAAACTGTCACCTCTATTGGGGAAATTGGAGCAAACGATTTCATGAGAGGAATTACAGTAATAATCCAAACTCAATATTGCGAATAAGATAAAACTATATATACGTGTATATATAAACAAGCTTTGCTTGATGGTCACGCCACAATGGTAACAGACAGCAAACACAGTAACTATGCAAAAGATTCATTATTTATCAAACACAGAAACAGCTGAAAGTGTTCAACAGAGAGCATTCACAATCTCAGAACCCAAAAAAAAAAAAAAAAAAAAAAAAAAAAAAAACAAAGCTATCAAGAAGATGACAGCATCGTATCGGATCGAACCTAAGCTTCTGGGTTTTCCTTTTCCTCCTAAAACCTTTCTTCCTCTTTCTCTTCTTCCAAAAATCCCACAAATTCTTAAGATCCGGAGAGAGAAATTTGGGGGAAGCGTTTCCAGAGTGCTTTGAAGCCTCTCTCTCTCCTCTTAAGTCATGAGAGTTTGTCTCCTCTGCTTCAGGTCTTGTTGCAGTTTGGCATCTTCCTTGTCTTCTTCAGTTTGGTCGTCCGAGTTGCAGAGGTACTTGTCGACCTGAGCCGCAGCTTGCCGTCCTTCCGAGATGGCCCACACGACCAGAGACTGTCCTCTCCTGCAATCTCCCGCCGCAAATATCCCTTCCACGCTCGTCGAGAATCGCCCATACTCCGCTTTGAAGTTCGATCTGTTGTCGCATTCTAGCCCTAGCTTCTCCGCCAGTGTCTGAAACCACACAAAAAAGAACAAAACCACTATCACAATGGCGTTTCCAGAGACAAGGTACGACGCGGTTTTGGGTTATGTTGTTCACTTACTTTCTCTGGTCCTAGGAACCCCATGGCTAAGAGAACGAGGTCGGCTTCGATTATTTCCTCCGATCCTTCAATCTCCGTGAACTGGAATCTTCCATTGCTGTCTTTCTCCCACTTCACACGTATAACCTCAAGGCCTTTCAGGTTTCCGTTATCGTCTCCGATGAACCGTTTGGTCAGAACCTCGTAGGTTCTCGGGTCTTTTCCGAATTTGGTGGCAGCTTCTTGATGGCCATAGTCGACTCGGAAAACCCTCGGCCACTGAGGCCATGGGTTTCCTGGAGCTCTCTTCTCAGGTGGTTGAGGAAGAAGCTCGAGGTTTACGACGCTTTTGCATCCATGGCGGATAGACGTTCCTATGCAATCTGTTCCGGTATCGCCTCCGCCAATGACAATGACTTTCTTCCCTTTGGCAGAAATGTAGTTTCCGTCTTGGAGACTACTATCGAGCAGACTTTTAGTGTTTGCGTGAAGGAACTCCATGGCGAAATGAACTCCCGGTAGCTCACGGCCAGGTACAGGAAGATCTCTGCAACAAATATCGCAACAATGGTGATCTGATTTAGTATCATTTTTCTATCGGATTGTTCATACGATATTTGGTATTCTGATTTGTTTCTTGCCTAGGTTTCGTGGAGCCAACAGCAAGAACGATGGCATCGTTTTCTTCCCGAATACGATCGAGAGAGTAAGACGGGTCATTCCCGATATTGGCATTGACCACAAAGTTGATGCCTTCCTGAGTCATAAGGTTAACCCGTCGTTGAACAATGTCGATTTTGTCGGCCTTCATGTTGGGAACACCATACATCATAAGCCCACCGATTCTGTCAGAGCGCTCATAAACCGTAACCAGGTGGCCCATTTTGTTAAGCTGATCGGCTGCAGCCAGTCCAGCGGGTCCACTTCCGATCACCGCAACTCTTTTCCTGTAAAAGTTCACCAAATGTTTAAACTTTCGTTCGAACCGAACAGCAGAATCATGCGACAGACACAGATGTAAACAATGAGACATTACCCAGTTCTGGTAAGAGGAGGACGAGGAACCATCCAGCCTTCTTCAAAGGCTTTATCGATGATAGCGCACTCGATGCTTTTGATCGAGACCGGGTTCTCGATGATTCCGAGAACACAAGCACCCTCGCATGGCGCAGGGCAAACTCGGCCCGTGAATTCCGGAAAGTTGTTAGTCTCGAGGAGCCGATTCAATGCTTCTCGCCATCTGTTCTGATAGACAAGCTCATTGAATTCGGGTATTTTGTTACCGAGCGGACACCCTGAGTTCTCCTGCGAGATTTTTCGGAAAAATCGAAACTTTATCATTCAGATAAACAAATCTTTATCATGTTTTTGAACTGGATATCGGAAGATTAGTATTATACCTGGTGGCAAAATGGAGTGCCACAGTCCATGCATCGTGCCGATTGTGTATTCAGCAGCGGTCCGGGTTTCGATTCCTCCATGACTTCGTTCCAGTCGTTAAGACGAACGTTAGGATCACGGTACTGAACTCCCTCCCGTTCGTAAGCGACGAATCCACGATGTTTAATCGCGCCTCTTACCCTAGAGGGCCTTTTTGGAGCTTCGATGGCTGCTCCATTGCTCGATTTCTCATCCTTCAAAGCGGCAGACGCCATCTTCTTAAGCTCTTCAAAAGCGTCTTTCTCTACATGATTTTTCTCATCGAGATCCTCCTCGACATTCTTCGAGACCTCGACCTCGGCCTCAGGTTTGTGTTTCATGGATGCCAAAATGCGTTTGTAATCTCTCGGGAAAACCTTGATAAACTTCGGTAGCAGATTCTCGAAATCTTCAAGAACTTCTCTTGCGAGTTGGCTGTTTGTGTATCGTTGATGTTGCTGGATCATCATCTTGAGGGTCGTGATGTCCTCTTCTTCTTCGACTTTATCGAGATCAACGAGTTCGGGATTGCATCTCGTGTGGAAATTTCCGTCCACGTCGAGGACATAAGCGATACCACCGCTCATACCCGCAGCAAAATTTCTACCCGTCTTTCCAAGCACGATGACGGTACCACCCGTCATGTATTCGCAACCGTGATCACCAACCCCTTCCACCACAGCTTTGGCACCAGAATTCCGAACACAGAATCTTTCAGCCGCCATCCCGTTGAAGTAGGCTTCACCGCTAGTGGCCCCATACAGTGCTACATTTCCGATGACAATGTTTTCTTTCGGGTCGAAACTGCTTTCTTTAGGAGGATAAACAACAACTTTACCTCCCGAGAGTCCTTTCCCGACATAGTCATTGCTATCGCCCTCGAGTTCTAGCGTGATTCCAGAACAGAGGAAAGCTCCGAGACTTTGCCCAGCACTTCCCGTAAACTTGATATGGATCGTATCATTTGGTAGCCCGGCCAAGTGGTAACGCTTGCTCACCTCATGACTCAACATCGTTCCAACAGCTCGGTTAACGTTGCAAATCTGAGTGTCGATGTACACTGGAACAGCCTTCTCCAGAGCAGATTTGGACAGTTCGATAAGCTTTCGGTCCAATGCCATGTCTAGGCCATGATCTTGCTTCTGGACACAGTACTGAGCTGCCCCAGGACGAATATCAGCAGCGGGTCTAAGCAATAAGGAGAGATCGATGTTCTCAAGCTTCTCGTTGTTCTTGGCTACTTCCTTGTCAACCTCGAGCATATCCGCACGACCAACCATCTCGCTCAAAGTGCGGAAACCAAGCTCAGACATGATTTCCCGCACTTCCTCGGCAAGCATGAAGAAGAAGTTGATGACATGTTCTGGCTCTCCGGCAAATTTTTCGCGGAGAACAGGATCTTGAGTCGCAATTCCGACAGGGCAGGTGTTCTTGTGGCACTTCCTCATCATGATGCACCCGAGTGTGATGAGTGGAGCTGTACTGAACCCGAATTCTTCCGCACCGAGAAGGGCAGCGACCGCAACATCTCTGCCTGTTTTCAGCTGCCCATCGGTCTGAAGAACGGTACGACCACGGAGATCATTAGCAACGAGTGTTTGATGGGTCTCGGCCAAACCCAGTTCCCACGGAAGACCGGCATTCTTTATTCCAGTCCAGCGAGATGCACCCGTTCCACCATCATGACCAGATATCAGAACATGATCAGCATGACCCTTCACCACACCGCTAGCGATAACCCCAACACCCGCTTCAGAAACGAGTTTGACGCTGATCCTGGCAACAGGATTGGCATTCTACGAAAGAAAAACGAGCAGAAAATCACGAGAGGAATGGGAGAAAAAAATGTAAAAAAGATTGCAGGAAAGCATTATATATATATACAAACCTTAAGATCATGGATTAGTTGGGCAAGATCTTCGATAGAGTAGATGTCGTGATGAGGCGGCGGACTGATCAGGCCAACACCGGCAGTAGAGTTTCGGGTAACGGCAATGTCGCCGATAACCTTATGGCCAGGCAGTTCCCCTCCTTCACCGGGTTTCGCTCCCTGCCCACCATTACAGTCATTAGTAAGAATCGCACACGGTGAAGTTCATATAATAGCACCCGAAAAATAAAAAGTTAGCGAGATCAAACTAGTATCCGAAATTACCTGAGCCATCTTTATCTGTAACTCATCGGCATTGGTAAGGTAGTAGCTCGAAACTCCAAATCTTCCACTAGCAATCTGTTTAATGGAGCTTCTTTTAGGGTTCCTCGAACCATCTGGAAGTGGCTCCATACGAGAGGGCTGCTCTCCTCCCTCACCTTTACCAGATTTTACAAAAATGGAAACTTTACTACGTATGATCCATTAAACGTTGACAAAAACTGGCAAAAAAAGATAAACAGCAGACCTGTATTTGATTTGCCACCGAGCTTGTTCATGGCCATGGCAAGAGTTGTATGTGCTTCCAATGAAATCGATCCGTAACTCATGGCGCCGGTGCAGAACCGTTTCACAATCTCGCTCGCTGGCTCGACTTCGTCTATCGGCACTTTTGCCGCCGATTCTTTGAACTTCAACAGTCCCCGCAAATTGCATTGCTTATTCAGCTCGTTGATACGTTTCGAATATTCCTTGTAGGCGGCGACACTGTTGGATCTCGCAGCTTCTTGGAGCTTAGCAATGGCGAGAGGGTCGTTCAGATGAATCTCGCCGTTTTTCCGCCAGTGATAATCGCCGGGATTGGTCAATGCTACAGCCTCCGCACTTCCCGGGGCGAAAACACGTGATGGAAATGCCATCTCATGCAAACGGAGGGTGTCTCGTGCAAGCATCTCGAAAGTCGCACCTTCCACTCGGCTCGGGGTACCCGAAAAGCACTTTTCGATAACCTCGGACGCGAGGCCGAGGGCTTCGAAGATTTGAGCACCCTTGTAAGAAGCAAGTGTGGAGATTCCCATCTTGGCAAGAACCTTCATCATTCCATAGTTGCTCGCCTTGAAATACTTCTTGACCAGCTCTTCCTTGGATTGGAATTCCCCGTTAGCTTTCGGAGGGATCTTCCCGTCCACCTGCAATCTCCATATGGCCTCAACAGCCAAATACGGACAGATGGCATCCGCACCGAATCCGACAAGCGTGCAAAAGTGATGGACTTCACGTGGCTCAGCAGATTCTACTACCAGCCCAACTCGAGTTCTCGTAAGGGATTTAACCAGGTGGTGATGAACAGCTCCAACAGCCAAGAGGGAGCTCACGGCTACACGTTTCGGGGAGAAACCTAAAAACAGTAGACAAGACTTTAACAGCTGTAATAATGGGTGAAAAAAGCACCGGAAGAGAATGGATTAACTTCTAGAAAGAATGAATACCTCGATCAGACAGAACCAACAATGTGTAACCCTCCTTTATTGCATCATGTGCTTCGGCACAAATTCGGTTAAGTGTCTCCTCCAATCCTTTCGCTCCTCGTTCTTTTGGGTAAGTTAGATCGAGAACTTTGGTCCTCCATCCTCTGTAGTCCATTTTTTTGACGGCTTCCATCTCTTCAATTGATAAAAGAGGCCCCTTTAGCGAAAGACGGTGGCATTGTTCTTCGGTAGTTTCAGTAAGATCGCCTTCTGGACCGATCATGCACTCCATGGAAGTAACAATCTTCTCACGGATAGGATCGATCGGAGGATTCGTCACTTGAGCAAACATTTGCTTGAAGTACTCGAAAGACAGTTTCTCTCGGTTCGACATAACGGCGAGCGGAGCATCGTTTCCCATGGAACCAAGTGCCTCAGATCCGTCTTTCACCATTGGAAGCAGCAACATCTCTAAGGCTTCAACTGTGTAACTGTTGCATACAATAAAAAGGTAATTCATTATTCAGATGTCGGATATTGATATCGATAAGAATCAGAAATATATTTACATACCCGAACGCTTTCAGCGGAGTCAGTAAACCATGAATACCCATGCTCTCCATTGATTCGTCATCATCAGAAGCCTTCATTTTCCAAAGCAATCAAAAGTAAATAACAAACCACACAGAGTAGAAAAAACCTGAATCATAGTTTGGTTAGTGTCCTAATCTTACCAGAACAACCCCGGAAATCGGAGGGGCGGACCTGTCAGATTCAGGAACCGACTCGATAATGTCATCGAGTTCGAGCTTTTGTCTTTGAAGCCACTCCCCATAGGGCCGAGTGTGCGAGTACTGCTGCTTCAAAGCTTCATCATCAACAACGATATGCTTATCGAAATCCACGAGGAGCATCATGCCCGGGTTTAGCCTTCCTTTCCTGAGCACGTCTTCGGGAGGAACGTCCACAACTCCGACTTCACTAGCCATGATTACCCTCCCGCTGTGGGTTACGTAGAACCGGCCGGGACGAAGCCCGTTACGGTCCAGGGTGGCGCCCAAGTAACGACCATCGGTAACTGCTCAAAGATCAAGAAAGGCGAGTTGACGAAATCTTGAAATGGTATATCAGAAATGGAAGAAAGGGAAACGAAAACAAAGATACAATCTTTGGAGAAGATCTTTTACATGAGATGAGAGCAGGTCCATCCCATGGCTCCATTAAGGCAGAGAAGTATTCGTAAAAGGCTCTCCTGCTTGGATCCATGTTTTTATCATTCTGCCATGCTTCAGGGATCATCATCATTACAGCTTCAGGAAGACTTCTGCCCGCTCGGACAAGAAGCTCAAGAACGCCATCGAAAGCACCTAACAGATATGATCGAAAGACAACACACATTATTATTATTACATGGAACCGAAAAGACAAAACATCATCAATTCAGACAAATCAAGATTTACCTGAGTCAGAAGAACTAGCATCGACGATGGGTAGAAGCTTCTTCAGCTCGTTCTTCGATAACCCAAGCTCCTTGCACTTCAATAGACCCTCTCGTGCCCTCATCCTATTTATAACATGAATCCGTAAGATCGTTTAAGGGCTTTGTCACTAGAAAATACGGTAAGGAAACCGATGTATCAAGCACTTGCATACCAGAGAACCATTTTATTACACATATTGCTTGCAACGTTTACCGAAAATCCTGGTAAAAAAACCAAAACTTTCCGGCCACTATCAAGGGTCCAAACAGGCTGCGTCCTCAAGAGATTTACAAGAACATGTATCCGACATCTTTGATCAAAGAACGTACCAATTCACATTGCCTCGGAGGGTATTAATCTCTCCGTTGTGGCCCAAAACACGCATGGGTTGGGCACGATCCCAGCTGGGAAACGTGTTGGTAGAGAACCGAGAGTGAACCTGGAACATCGACCACAAAATAAACCGGGAAAAGTCAATCTCGAGATTGAACTCTTGTCATAACCACGATTACAAAAACCGAAGACTTTACCAAATTCGTGTTAAGAGCCTCTTCGACGGGCATACAGCAGAATTCCTAACTAACCTTGGACCAACACAAATTCAACCTAAGATTAACTGATGAGACATAATGACTCACTAGACATGTCGGGTTTTTCTTACCAAACTCACCCAAAAAAACAGCCATCATTCCCCATCCAGCATCCAAAATTCATAAACATATCAAAGGGAGTGAGTGGGGGAGGAGAAGTTAAAGAGACCATTCACAAACTTGCAATGCCTCAGAAGAAGTCATTCCTCAATCTTGCAAGCATCTCTCTTCGGTTCACTCCCATGCTGTTTGTCGGAGCATGGGTGGTGTCAGCATAGAAAATATAAAGTGCAATAGAGAATCATATAATTACCAGGGCCATGTAGCTCGTAAACCTTTCACTCCCAAGATCTGCGTAATAGTAGTTCTTCAGTTGATCCGGCTTCAGCTGCCCTTTGTAGACAACAGTCCTGTCCAGATCATCGTTTTTATTACATCCTGGTTCGTTCTTGATTCATGAAACTATACACACAACTCCAGAATCCATACATACGTATATATACGTACCTGGAAGATAAAGAACATATGTAGAAGTCCCTCATACCACCATGTTGAAGGTTCAGGGCAGCTCGGATGGCAACCATGGAAACCCTTCTCAGGATATACATCTGACGAGTGGGTAGACAATGTCATCATTCGAAGAAGGTGAAAACCTAATCTCGTACCATTTTTGACCGAGGAATTCATACCTGTTGCTCCAAATCAGCTTTTGATCTGGGAGTTGGGGTGAGGAAAACCTGTTCGATGACTGGTTCTGTCTGAAGGGCAGACTTCCCCAGTCCAGAGTTGTCTGTAGGAACAGATCTCCATCCAAGAACAGTATGACCAAGTGATTCTGCAACCTGCAGATGAAGTAGTGGCCATGAATCAGATTTTGCTCAACATTCAACAACTTTCGAAACAAGGGTTTACGCTAATTCACCTTGGTGAAAACATTCTTGCTTTCGTTTCTCCGATTCTCGGAGGTTGGCAGAAAGAACATCCCGACAGCATACTGTCCAGGAGGAGGAAGGTCAAAGCCAAGATCTTTCGCAACCTGCTACAAAGAAACACAACACGGAAACAGGGGAGAAATCATATTTAGAGTGAAATCGTACAAAACTGAGAGTAACAGCTGCAATAAACACATGCCTCTCCATAGAAGCCGTGAGGAAGGGCCACAAGAATGCCGGCGCCGTCACCGGTGTTAGTCTCACACCCACAAGCGCCTCGATGTGTCATCCTCACCAACATTTCAAGCGAATCCGTTACCTAAAAACCACATCGCGGAAACAGGGAGATGCATCACAAAGTCAGGATCTGAAATCATCGCCATGAACATGAGAGAAAAACAAGAATTTTTCAGACATACCGTCTTGCGGCTGGTCTCGCCCGACAACTCCGCAACGAACCCGACCCCACAAGAGTCCTTGTCGAAGGACGGGTCGTAGAGGCCGAGGGGCTTCTCCGGCACACCGGACAGGGAGGATCGAACCACCGTCCGAAGTTTAGGCGACCTTCCTGGACCGTCCGATCTCCAGAACTGGAACGTCTCGGACCCGGATCCTCGCAACCGGGTCCCCATAAAGGGCTTCTCCGGAGCCGCCGGTTTCTTCGCGTAGCATCGCGCGGCTCGAGCCCTACGGAGAGATCCGGTGGAGATGGACAACTGGGGAGCGAGGACGGCGGATTTGCCGAGAGAATGGATAGTGCAGTGGTTGGTCCGAAGCTGGATGACGGAGCTTGAAGAAGCAGTCGACATCTTCGTATTCAACAGAGAGATTTCTGTCGGAAATTGCCCCACCTAGTACGTTTGCGGAAGAAAAAGTTCCAACCCAGATGAACTTTTCACAGAAAATTCAGAGAAATCCCAGGAGTTTCCCTTCTTGTGCGTCGTATTCAGATCGGTAGGTGGAAAATCCCACCAGAGAAGCAGTGACTGAAACGGGATCTGTAAGATTCGAGTTCACCAACCCCCTGAAAAGGAACCGCCTTTGGATTCTAATATAAGATCCACGGATCTGATTTACTTTATCGCTAAATAGGTTTGAAACTCTGTTTGGGAAGCGAGAGAATGAAGGAAAGTCTGGGAGAAAATCCACGGCTTTCTAGGAAAAGCGAAACAGAATTCAGGTATACAACCCAACGAAAACTGGATCGGATAAACACCAAAGCAAAAGAAGGAAAAGAAAAACAGAAAAAGGGATCCTACACAAACACGATCAACCAACGTGTTTGATTCCCAGAAAATAAAAACGGAAATAGCCGAGAAAAAAGGAGCAGAAGAGAGAAAAAGGGAAGGCGAAGATTCTCCGGAGGCAAGGAGCGACGGAGGAACGGCGGAGGCGGCGAGTGTACTTATACGATAAGAGGGGGGGCGAGGGGTTGGTATTTATAGGGGAGATGGCTCGGACAGTTTAGAGAGAGAAACTCGTTCTGTTTTTTTCTTCTTCTTTTTTTGGATAAAGAGAGAGAAAAAAAATATAACTATATAAAATAAATTAGGACCTAACTGGCCCCAAAAAAACAAAAGGAGAAATATTATTTACAGTTAAGATAAAAAACTATATATTATTACCCTTCCCTAGAGAGGTATCACATTTTACACGACATTTTACGAACTAGTTTAAAACTGCAGCTAGACCTAGATGCCAGGTTCTGTCTTTTTGCAATATAAAATCTCGATAAAAATTGGAACTTGAAACTAAGAAACAAAAGCCCCTTCACTTTTCAGTGTGCGGTAAAAAAAATATAAACAGTAAAAAGAAAATCTGGTCTTTCAGTTTTTAATGCTAATATTATATATTGCAAATATGCAATTATTAAATAAATTTTAGGAAATAAATCTTGTTGATCGACAAATACGGGAATTTCTCGATCTAAAAAAAACGATCCCCGTATAATAAAGAAAAAAATACGACATATATGGAAAGGATACAGATTTTATTGATCGGTTTTCCACATAAATCTTATCCCAAAACAAATTTTACCCCAACGCCAATTAATACATTAATTTATATAAACACGCATTGATTATATTAAATTTCTGGGACCCACACCGAGGTTAGGTGTATATATGCGGCACGAGACAACCGCTTACGGTGGGATCCATCGTAGAGAATCGAAACCCACTAGATGGCTGCTTTTTTTTTTCACAGCCTCGGCTCCGAGCCACCGCGACGCTACCAAACTTATCTGCGGGGTCAAATTCGAAACTCTGAACATTTCGAGGGGCTAAAGTTTAATTACTGAGAGATATTCGCCGACTGTTGGTTTGATTAGTCAGCCATTACGCAAGATGGTTAGTGATAATTAATGATACTTAAAAAGGGTTTTATTTTTTAGAGTTTTAGTCAAAGAGGTAGAATTGTAACGGGCAGACGACGGGCCACGTTATGTGACGCTATGGATGACGAATTATATATTTACTTTGTAGTATTTATTATATACCATATGTTATGTAATGTTTGTGATGTAGCAGCACCAAGTATTTTATGAAATTCCGTATGCGGCCAACCGTAAATTATGCGTCCTAATTTGATTACTTGTTTCATAATCTCCTGACATTAATTAGGATATTATATATATATATATGATAATTCGTGAAGCTTCTATTGGTATTTACGGACTTTAATTGTAATCGAAATAAAATATGATAAATCTAATCTCAATTCTTCACGTAACCTTTGATAACATTTGTTTTTGTTAGAAGATGAAAATTTACTCACTTTAAAAGTATAGGGAAATTTAAAAAAAAAACATTAGGCTTTTGAATTTGGACAAAAGAAAATCTGAACTTTTTTATGGTATAAAAACTCTAAATTATTTAATTTTTCAAAATAATTCATGATTATCGTATCATATTAAATCATTGGAGGTGACGTGGCTTATAAAAGTATCAGCGTGGCGTATAAAACATTTTTCTCTCATGTCACGTCTGTGTATACATTGGAAATTATGTTTAACTTAGATTTAAAAAAAAATAAAAAGAATCTGGTTTGTAATGGACCAAAAAACTTAATCGGTTCATTAAAAAAATTTAAAAATAAATCGAATTGTAAATGTATATTGTGGATAGTTATTTGTTTTAGATTGAAACCCAAATGTATATTGTGAATAAAATCATTTTTTAATCCCTTGGAATTTATGGTTTCAATCTGGAAAAAAAATTATCCACCATATATATTTGGGATTCGATATATTTTAAAAATAGAAAATCTAACTTGTATGGGATTTTTCCTTTAAAATATTGGTTGGCTATAATACACAGTTACTAATAGTTTGTATATTTCTTTCTTATTTAGTCTGATTTTTTATTATATTTAGAATTTTATTTTAATAAATTTATAAATTTTAAAAGGAATTATATTTTTAGATTGATGAATTCTATTAGAACTAAATTACATAACATATTTAAAATATTCTAATTATGAATAATAAAATATACTAATTACTCTAAAATTTGACAAAAAAATTAACATTAATATATACAGAATTAAAAAAGCATGTTCTATCTAAATAAGTCGTTGGTAATAATAATTTACATTAATGATAATATTGATGCGAAGTTGAAGGAAATATTTGCAAGAAATGCTAACAATATTTTAATTGTATATCGATTGAAAATGAGAAATTACTGGTAAAATAATAATCTCAGTGACTCATAGGGTTAGAAATATAATTGGGATTTCCAATAAAGTTGTGTCACAATAAAAAAAATGGAAAAAAATAGATATTAATTATCTTAAATTCTTTAATACTATTTACACAACCATGAAAACACGACCCTAAATATAAGAGATATATTTGATAATTTCATTTTTCAAAATAATAAAAAGGGATCGAATTATTACGAGCATATGTTCTAATTTTCACAAAGTAGAAACGTGATTATCGTGATAAGTGGCTCGACTTTATGAAATTTCAAAAAAAAAAAGGCAAAAGAGCGAATCCTGATAAATATGGAAAAAAAGCAAAATAATAATAATGTCTTCTATTTTTTTTTCCTTCCTTTGACTGCGTTTTTCCATAATTCGGATTTAATTGTTTTTGTAATGAATCATTTGTTATATGGTAAAAAGTACGTGGCTTTTGGGTCTATCTTTCAATTCGAATTTGACAATTTCAACTATATATATATATATAAATAGATATATAAAAATAATTAAATTAATCTTAATATTTTCTCCATATTCAAATTTATATTCTCAATTTTCTGTATCATTATTTTTTGATAACTTTTTTAAAAAATATATAAAACTTGCAAATACCATAGGGTCTGTTTGTGTTTCTCGTAAGATTTAGAGGAGAGGGTTTTTCTGACTTTTTTATAAAAAAAAATTGGTATTAGAATAATATTATTTAATAAAATAGACAATCTTATTATTATAATATTAAAATTTTATGTAAAAAGTGTAAACAATAAAGTCTATTATAAAGTAATGTTTCATTTGCATTGACGTGGATGCACCTATACTTAATTATATGTCCATTTCGTATATATATTTAAGATATATAACGTGACACTTATTCAAAGCTCAAAATAAATGCTCGGAATGGGTTTCCGAGTTGCTAAGCAAAGGGCCAAAGGCTATTTATTATTAATTGCGTTCTACTCATAATATTTTACTACAAATCATTACATTACAATATATAAAATTATTCAATATTTACAATATTTAAAATCCAAATTATAAGCGGGCCATCTATGTCATTATAATTACAATATTCGTCATATTTATTAGTTAGAGAATGACATGAAACTATATGATAATACGCCGTTATAATCTTTTTAAAAAATAATTTACGTGGTCTAACGTACGGTTCATTATCAGCATAATTACACAGAAATTTTCTGATCATCCATAGGAACAAATAGTCTGCATGTGTCACTGTCTTGTAGTCCAATACATCTTTTTTTTTTTCCAATAAAACAATCACCTGTCTTAATTTGATTCTTGCACTAACAAATCGAATTATTCCGAGTATTACAAATTAAATGAATATAAATTTTAAAAATAATTAAATTACAGAATGAATTACACAAAAATGACATCACATGTGATATAAAATTAATTACATATAATTTGTTGAAATTAAATAATAGAAAACTGTTCATAAAAGAATTGTTTTCATGCTAAATAATTTTAATTCAAATAAATTAGAATTCAACAAAATTCAACATATTATAAAAATAAAAAATAAAATCAAAATATAATAAAACGAATTAAAAACCATGTAAAAAAAAATAACCAGAGCCGAAATCGATTGCTAAAATATTCACACCCATATGAATCTCATTATAAATACATACACATATACATATATATGTATATATATTGTTGAAAGATTCCAATTCCACTAACACTAGTGCAGGGAGAGGCATCATCACATTACAAGTGGAAAGTGGCGTCCTAATATTGTATTCTGTTTTGCTCTTTTTCCTCCTTACCTGTCTGCCCACGGAAGTGGAGGACACAGCACAAACTCGGAATCAATCAAATATATATATTCACTTACTATTTTTTTTTCGTGAATAATTTTGTCTGTTTTATTTTTTTAGAAATATTCGGTATAAAATTTAAATATTATAATTTTAATAACCCAAAAAACTTTGTTATACTTTTCTACACCACATGGATTCTCATCTTGGACCACCTGACAAAAACTTTATGTATATATATATATATGGTGCAATAATTAGGTCGAATTTTTCCCCCCAAATTATTACCTTTTGTTCGATAAAGCATATAAAAACTAAGTTTCAATATATTATTGGTAAGAAAACATTCAATTATCCCGGATTCAAACTCAAGTGAAGGGAGAAAAATTCATCTCAATTTCTCCGATCCTCTTTTAAATATAATTGGACAAATAATCTGGTGAATTTTTACGTTATAAAAAAATAAAAAATTTTGCAATATGTGTGTGTGGAATCCTAATTTTCTGGGTGCATTTATATTCTTAGATCGCCATTAATTTATTTCGTGAGGAATCTATTGTTCATGTCAATGTGCATTTTAAAAGGGAATATTTCTATTATTATTTTATTTTTTTAAATTGGTAGGTGTATTTTGTTACCGTATTATCTATAAAAAATTATTATATGTCTAATTAATAAAGGTTGCAGAACATATAACCACATGCATGTGATTCGTTAGACAATTTAAAAACGTATGTGCTCATAATTTCATCAACTAACTTCCCTAATTTATTTTTAAATTTGCATGATTAGCTAAATATAATATTTTTTTTATAGTCAAACCTACAATATGTTTTTAAAAAATTCTCAACACGCCCGAGAAGCAATAAATAATAGTAAAATTCGGATCTAACATAAAATTTATGCATGCCGACAGACAAAGCTATG